TTTTTCATTTTTCTATATTCACTTGGTCCATATTTTACAATGAAATGATATATATTAGAAATTTTTATAGCATTGGCATATGATAATTTAGTACATTATTCTCATAGGCATTTCTGGTTAAATAAATAAATTAGCCATATCGTTATCTAATGCAATCATTCAGCAAATTGATTTCAATTATGCTCCTATATATATATATATATATATTTATGTTTAAATTCCCTGTTTCTGACATTTTTTGAAATGGTCGCATTCGTAAATGATGTGTAAAAAACATTATCTTTTAATGGAATACTTGCAGATGATTGGATCATTAAACTTTGAATAGATGACAACGATGAAAAGGAATTCAAGTGCTGACAATGTCACTGGTTTTTTGAAATTTTGGTTTGTAATCAATAGAATGTAAGTATGTGGGGACATTTTATATTGCAAGAAAACCCAAATCACATCTGGAGAATGAATGCTATGAATTATTATAAGTATTATAAGTATTATTAAGGTCCAAGAAAGACAGCACTTAATCAAAGCAGATACAAGGAAATCAATCATTTGTTTCTTAAATTGAAAAGGAAAAAAGGACACCCACACAATACCAAGATCCAAAAAATTATTATCCAACCAAGGACAAATAAATCATTGCTCAATTACAAGTAACTAAAAACTACCAAATGTGAACATTGAAATATTTGTGACTTTGATTTAAATATGGCTACCACAATTCTCATACAAAACATAGAAATGATACATATATACAGCTACTTAGGGAATACATAAGCCAACAATCAGTCATTATAGTAACATGATGTGGGTCAAACTTAAAAAAATAAATAAAAATAAATAAATAAATAAAAGAGAGAGAGAGAAGGAAGTAGCTTCCAACCAATGTCTAAATGATTGTAAACATTAAACAACTTGCTTATCTGTAAAGAATGCATAACATATAAAAATATATGCTCCTCCCAGCAATTTTATCAACATTACTTCTAAATTGGGTAGCCTTCAAACCACAGCAAATCAGTCTTATTCATTTTGCACCACATGATAGAAACATTACCTTGACTCCAAGCATAATCAATGACAAAACATCAACAACATGGATACAATCTCTGATTATGAAAATAAAACACAGATTCAAATATGTGCGCACTGGAAAACATAAACGAATTTCAAAAGCAATCAACACCAATCATCAACTCACTCAACCCATCCAATGTTTTCTTTATTATACATCAGCTTACCGAATGAAATGGGTCAGCATGAATCTCTACACTTGAATAAAAACATGACTTCAAGAAACCAACCTTTTTAGTGACAAATCTCGATCAATTTGGAGCAATTAGTAACCTCGTGTCTTTTCATACTGGAGATAAAATTATACTGTGCCGACACTTCCAGAGTGGCACATTTCAGCACTGAAGACACTTCTTCATAAATATGGTCACCTCCAGCACGAGTCAAACCAAATCCAGCAATCCTTCAGTTGAAAAAAAATACATATATGCAACACAAGTGGGAGTTGACAAAATAAAACATTGGGACTCTCCCGGTTGAAAAATAATAAGCAGAAGAAACACCACTAGAGATTACTATAGCTCCAAACTACTGCAGCAAGCCCGTAATGTTTGATTGTCAATACTCCATCAAAGCTGTTTCAGTGTCTGACAAGGGCGCTGTAAGAGAATAAACATAAAAGTTCCAATGAAAACAAAGTACAAGGTGAAGTATTACATAAAGAGAGAATGAAAAGGTCAAACATGAGGGGAAAACAAAGTTGATGTGCTACATTCATTTACAGGTGTGTCAACTCGGATATGGATATGTCATGGAAAAAAAAAGAAATAAAGCATAATGATCTTGAATAGTAACTTCCAACATGACAACAAAGTAATGCCACGAAGCAGGAAAGCATGCTTACATAGAAATTAATATGTATTGTTGCTTCAAGTGTTCCACAGAGAAACAGAAATGTGTCAGCAAGAAAAATCAATTATGACTGATATCAACATCACAGAACAAAATTGACATGATCAAATTCATCATACCAAGCAAATCCTCGTAAGAATCTCCCAAAAGGGCTGCATCCACTAATAAAGGAGGTGAGAAAACTTGACCCTGAGCTTCATCAACAGCATAAAATGACCTACATGCTTCAGCAACTGGCAAATTTGAACCAAAAGCAGGAAGGAAACCCTTATCACTGTCAAATTCATTGTGGGAGTCCAACTCACTCAACATGTCTGTCACTACACGTTTGCTCCCAAGATCATTGTCCTTAGCAGGGGTCTGAAGCAAGGAAGAATCCACTTGAGATGTGAATAACTGTCTACTCTTTAGAGAGTTATGTTTCTTATCTTGGTCATGGCGAGAAAACCCAGTCCCAGAAAGTGGTACAAAGAAGTGCTCTGAGCACTCATTAGGGTTACTGTCTAGTGATGATTCCACATTGCATGACTGAGACGAAAGAGCAGCTTCTCTAACTGATCTCTTTAGGTTTTGCAGAAAGAGAAAGTCCTCATCTGTAGATATAATTATAACGGAAACTGTAAGTGACCACTGACAGGTGCAAAAATATCAGAAATGAAAGCAACAAATCACAAACCATGTGTTGAATTATCAATGAGATTGTTTGATGAAGGCTGATCTACAAAGTTTTTCTCGATTACAGTTTCTGTGGGATTTGTTTCGGCCACAATATGACGCTTTTGAGTACTCCCACCTTTTCCAGAAGAACTTGGTGTTGAGCTGAATAATGGCGGCAGTTTCAAAGTAGGGGGGCTAGCTGTCACCTTTTCAAGCTGAACAGACGGCAATCCAGAGACTAATTCCTCATCAGTATTACTTCCCTGCACAAAATAATTTACCAAGAGAAGTTTTCAAAACCCAGTCAAATCTGAATACAATAATTTCCAGTCTATTTTTACGCAAAAGAGAAAATTCAAAATAGTTACCAATGTCCTTCCGTTGCTCTGCGCCTGGACAGGTGAGTTTGATTGAATCTTCATAACAGGAGGTAGATTGGATGACATGCTGTGGACTTCCTCTGTAAGTTCTTTTATTGAGTTTTGTATGGTTGGACCAACATCCTTTAGTTGATTAATCAGCACCTGCACATAACCCTAAATAAGATACAACACTATTCCAATGGCCTAGAATGTCTGATGATAGTATCAATACTTCAAATGACAAGCATATTCTGTAAATTTCAAGGAACAATCAACAAGATACAGAACAAATATTTTACCAAGAAACTATATTGGATATTCTTACAATATCAGATTTACCTGTATGCTGTCTAGGTGCTGCCTATGTTCAGCCAGTGTTGCTGCCAATGACTCGGCATGATTGCTAGTACTACCATCATGCATACTCCTTAGTAGCTCAGGACCTTGTCCATCGTTAGCTTTTGCCTGCAACACAATCAGCGTAAAAATAACAAACTGGATTGGAACTAAAATTTATTTATGCATGGAAAATAAGTTTACAGCTGATATATCTTCGCTAGAATATTCATGCACCATAGCTCATAATCCACTCCAGGGACATCTTAAATGGTAAATGATTTATTAACAAAGTAAAAGCTGGATTGGCAGAAAAGCGCATACAAGTTGGAGTGATTGCTTATGAATGCGCTGCAACGCATGAGTCCAACGTCGCAAGATCTCAGCAATATCAACAGTGGGTTGTCCTCTCGTACTTTTCTCATCTAGTCGAGAATTTTTTTCTTCATTTCCATTAGTAGGAGAAAATTCTGATTTACTTTTAAGATCTTGTGAACTCTCCTTTTCCTCATGATCTACTTGTGGAGTCATATTACTAGAAACTAAAGAACTTTGATCCATTGCTGCTAGCAAAGACGACCCAGAGATACGATACCTAGAAAAAAATGTCAAGCATAGATATAAAAATAGCTACTCCGCATCAACGTGCCACTCAAGATAGGGATATATTACCTATGCTCACGGTGAGCTATAAGATCCTCAATTGGGCCTGAAGCAAGGACCTCATGTTGACCTGTACAAATAACATATATATAAGGCTTTTACTAAAGCAAAGAGTGGGATAACATAGTAAAATGTCATTAATCGTTCGTCTCACATCCGTACAAAAAAAAAAGGAACACAGTGACTATTAAATGCCGAAAGATCAGAGTACCATAATGCACATCAAATGTATTTGAATGTGCTTGAATACTAAAGAGAAAATTAGGGTGATGGCGAGAAAGAGTTCAGAGTGCAATTCTGATTTGATTATAAACTTTTCCACTTTTCATTTCACTAAAGATTTTTATTTAAAGTACACTATTCACTCATCTCACTTTTCCCTCCTCGATTTCATTAATACAGTTTTCAAAATATACTTCAATCAATACTTAAACATTTTCCTATAAAATATATTACTCATCCACTCACAACTTTATAACTACCACTCGTTATTTTATTATTTTCACATGAAATCAACTTTGATAATTTCATTGCCGTCTTACAGCAATTACACATTCCAAAATCTCCCCAGATCATTTTCCAAACACTTAAGCTAGTGAAATATTTTTCTGTCAATGAAAGCATATTCAATTGTACCCATAGAGGTTAGTGGACAAAATACACATTGACTACCCAATTTTTTTAGATGCAACATCTCATCATGAGTCGTTGAAAGACATCTAAACTATGAAGTAATAATGGGCTCCATTATCAAGATGATTCAGCAGGAAAAAAAAAAAAAATTTATTTCTGTTCAAGATATCTCATAGCTGCATAGAGAAGCAAACTGGGAGAAAAACCAGTTACTTATACTTACTTTTGCGCGATAACAATGATTCCCACAATCGAGTTGCTCTTTGAACTATGTGTGAATTTTGACTTGAGCTAGATACGAGCTCATCCCAGAGCTCACCCTCCAGTTTCACTTTGTTTCTTAGATCGTGTAGTTTTTCAAGCTCTTGCTGGAGATATGCCTATCAAAAACACCCCAAAGAAATGTATCACAAAGTCATCCTTCCATAAACAGCATATGCCAGCATTAGGCTCGAAAGAACCCATTGTGAGGTATCTGTTACCTCTTCAGCACACAGACCACGAAATTCTGCTGTCATTTCATGAGCCAAATCCGACCACATTGCCTGCCTTTGAACTGCAGTCTCTGCATTTTTCAGGAACCTTCTTCGTTCAAGAGCTATTCTAGCCTGTATTACAAAAGAATCAATTGACAGCTTCAGATAACATACATAAACTTGAGATATTTTTTGAGATCATCCATAAAAGATAGTAGAATGTCTTGCAGGAAAAGATAACACAAGTGATGGTCTAGTTCATCATCGTTGTAGTGTACAGTTGTAGTGTACGTTTTGTGGATGACAGGTATTTTTGTTGAAAATGAGATACAGAACTACAGCAGAAAGGAGCAAATGCCTGATGAATAGGAAGCACTTTGTTGATAATTGATATAGAGAGGAAAGTTAACAAGAAAAGATTTCACTCTTCCTAAGATGGTTATCTAAGATCATGAAGCACCAGGACCTAAGGTGAATGATAACTACAATATGTTAATGAAAAGATCAAATGGATAACCTTGGTTACAGGGAGTAGTGTAGCTGCATGAGAAAAGGCGACATCAGTTAATGGAGCAGGCAGTGGATTTGATGCTACATCAGCCGCAAATGTTCGCCTATGCACTTCCCTCAGAGCATGCAGGGAAAGCTGCCATAATAATTCGACAAATCTGCACAGGCACGAGAAAATCTAGTTACCTCTTGCATAAAACACCGTCAATTGAAAATTGTAAGCATTTCGAACACAGTTTAGATCCAAAAATGAGGAGAAATGGACCATCATTGCAGGTAAAACTATTAGTTATTACCAAGCAATCTCAGCTATTCCGATGGTTTAAGTAGCTTATCAGTTGTCTTATATTGCTCAGACAAAAAAAATGTCTTAGTCTAAAACTGGTTTGCGCAAATCCAACTGCTAACCAAACATATGCCAAATTTGTGAAGGAAACCAATAACAATCAATGGCCCCTCAAGTCAAGTGGAATTTATTAACAAATTCTGAGATATGTCATGCTCTTCCATCTTAAAAGCCCGTTTTAACAACTTGCACTTGGAAAACTTTCTGTTGAGTTTCTTTTATCCAAAGTCGCAGCAAAAATCTATCTGACCGAAAACATTATCTTCAACCAGCTTCTTCTAACTGCTATTGAAGCTTTCCACAAGTTAAACAACCTCAAGCCCATAGTACTACCATGAAGATCTATATAAAACAAAATAGGAACTACAAAAATTGAACCAATTAACTACTCATAGAACAAGAAATATTCATCAAAGAAAATTGCCTGTAAAAGGTTTATCAATATAGACACTGACGGAACTCCGGGTAAACTAACCTTGGACCGCAGCAAGTTGCAAGAGATGAAACCCTCGAATTACTTCTAGGCAGTGCTCCTTGTGATTCCAGTTCACTAATAATCCCTTGCACCACCTAAAAAAAAGAAAAAAAAAAAAATCCAGGCAAAGGGTCAGTAGAAACTATTATAACTTCAAGTCAGAGTGAACATACATTTCTCTACAGGCAAATCCACAATCGTTACCTTCCGAAAATCCCTAGACTGAGCTGAATCGAAAATAGGCCACACCTTATCGAAGTCCTGTAAAAAGGAATCCATGCTCAGAACATCTACATTTACAGCATTGAACCACAAAAAACGATTTGTACACAACTGAACAAGATAAATTTGCCGGGAGAGATTTCATTGATAACGCTTGCAAATTTCAAAATTCAAAAAATAAACAATTACGAAAAATAAGAGATGGAATATGCCTTGGCAGATTGAACTGGGCCGCGGAGAGATGAAAGTATGAAGTACAAAAGCTGTTCACCCAATTTGGGGTTAGAGTGGCGGAATAGGCCGACCCGATGGGCGCCGTTGTTCGACCCGATTCCGATAATGGTGGGATCCAAACCCAGGAGCAGGCAGTTTGTGTACATAGCACTCTCGAGCTCAATCTCTCTCTCCTTCTCCCGGTCCATCTTCATTCCAAGCAGACCACACCTACTGAGCTTCAATTTCGGGTGGTTTTTCCCGATCGGAGTTTATTTTTTCCGTTTCTGATTTATATGATTTATTATTATGTTTTTCTCCCAGTTGTAGTTTTGAAAATTTTGAGGCCCTTGGCGATGGTATAAATTACGAAAAGGTCCTAAAAACATCGAAATATTGCTATTATAATAAGATTTGGGTCCTCTTATTTTCTACTATATCCACATCGAACCTAGATTTTTTATTTTTTTTATTTTTTTT